AAGAGGGAGGGAGAGATTACATAGGAGATCTTCAAAAGTACTCAAGACGACACAGGATTTGCACTGCATTTATGTTAGAGAGTCATTTGGGAACCTCTGAAATTCCACCCATCAAATTTTGCTTTATTTTGGTATTTGCAACGTCTCTGCCTTGTCTAGCCTGAGTGCACAGTGTTCAGTAGTATATTGAACCTTTTCTTTTCCTCACTGGGAAACCACTAGGGGTTGAAACACCACCCAATTTATGACCGAGGCTTCCCCTGGCTGTTCCTCTGTGGCAGCAGTCAGTAACATAGATGAAGACCTTTCTGCCTCTCCCAAGTCTTGCACCAGCTAAGCAGGCACTAGAGAACAGGATCAGTCTCCTGTCTTTTCCTCCCTTTCCTCTCTAACTTTTTTCGTCTTTAGTTTCCAAAGAAACCACGAGATTGTTCACCGTCTTGTTAGTTCCCCTTTCCCCCTATACCTTCTGAACCTGAAAGCCGGTTCCATCTGCCTGTTCATCTGTGTCACAGCGGTAGATATCTCAAAATATGTTTCTGTAAATTTAGAAAAACTGGTAACGGGGGGGAAGAGAGAGAGAAGGCCCACTATAACGCTCTCCTCCAAGGAAAACCTGCTCGAGCTGGTGGCAGCCTGCAGGGAAGTAACTCCCCAGCACAAGCTGCCCTTGCTCACCCAGGTGGACAAGGTGGGAGGATGCCAGTGAAGGACAGGAGACCCGGGGTCCTCGTGACGGGGAGGATGGGATGGTGCCAGACACCTTCTTAGGGCACTGGGCTTTCTTGACTAGTTCTGCTGCTCGTACGACGACTTGCCCAGCACACAGTCTGAATGGAGACTGGGAAAGCGGGTGAATGGGATGGTACTAACAAGAAGTGCAAATATCGTCACCAGCAAGACACGGCTAGCGTGCGGTCTGGGCTTTGGAAGCAGGGCCTAGAATAAGGTAACACAAGTATGTCTAAAAATTATCTGTGTTTTCTTAGGAATCTACTTGCATGTACTCCTTCCCCCGATGTACGTAGGTGAAATTTCACCTCTGGAATCTGATGCTGATGTATAAATACCAGTTCTGCTGACTTAACTCCCAGATCTTAATTTTTCCTCTTGGCTTTCAAGAGGGATGTTAAAAGACATAATTTTCACTGCTACTTTTAACGCTATTAGGAAGAGACTGTCACAGGAGAATGTGGATATATTAAAGACTGTTGAATTACAGGGCAGCATTTAGATGGTAAAAACCTCTACAACATTATTCATTGCTTTCTAAAAAGAAAACTTAGGTACTTGTGGTTCAGCCTTTCTTGCCAAAGTCGTATTTACTGATGCTAGATATTTCCTTGACCTGTCTGTACAACGCAATGAAGCAGAGCAAGAAAAAAAAATGCAGTGCCATACCAGAAAGGGCTCTATTCAGTCTTTAAAAATGCCCTTGTAACACATTCTCCAACCACACGGAATGCCTTCACGCTTCCTCTTTTTATTAACCTTTGTTTTGTCCTTCTGCTCTTAGTTTTGCTGTTGCACATTAGCATGGCTATATTTGGAGGCAAGATAAATTAATTCGTTGCAAACCTAATAAGAGTTTGATCTACGAAGACTGCACAGAGAGGGGCAAAAAGAACAGCTTGTGCCACTTTCTTGCACAGGAATGCTGCATGCATCATGGGAAACCATCAGCGTGGGTGGAATGCTTTAGCTTGTTTGTCAATGTGAAATATTTTGAATGGTGTCATTGAATATAGCAAAATCCTTATTTTCACAGGGCAGATAATCCCTTGTGTTTTCTTAAACAATGCACTAATATGGTCCCTTTTTGGCAGACAAAGAGAATAATGCGGGGCTCATTACTGTAGCCCTGCGACGGCAAACAATTCATGTATACAGGAGTGCAGTGGAGGCAAAAACGTGGATAGCAGAGGGTTTATATAAATACTTAAAACCGACTCTGAAAGTGGCACAGCTGCACTATACATAGTTTGTTGGGACCTGTAACCTTATGCATCTGCATCCAGGGGACCATGAAGCTAAGGCGATCTATGTGTTTTCAGGTTTGGCTTAGGAAAAAAATTTTAATTAGTTCAAAGTAAGCTGCCTTGAATTACCTCCTATTTACCATGGGGAGAGAGGAAGGAGAGCCAGTATGCAGACAGTTACCATGGAGCAGGTGATATATATATATATATATACACATATATATATATATGTATGAAAGCTTGTTACCTTGTGCATGCTCTTACCTTGCAGTAAATGAGCGTGCTACTATTAGCAAATCTGAGTCATTTTAGATCCCTTAAGGGATGGAAAAAGCTCATTGTGTATTTGAGTAAATATAGCATGCAACTTTGCTTGCACGCAAACATCCCCTTCCCTTTCTGGCTTGATTTCACTTGCTGGTTGGTTGTACCACCAATGCGCGTTCATTTCCAGAATTATTCCTTTGGCTCCTGCTTCTGCCGTGTGATCCAGCTCAGCATGAAGCAAAGAAGTAGGCTCAAGATGTTAGTACTTGACTATCTGGTGTTCCTTGGCTGTTCTTCCAAAAGGGTATGTTTGGGCAGGCCCGTTTGCAGCACGTTTGGCACAGAACTGGTACACGGGGTGGTTGGAGTTTGGGAAACCCGGGGGAAGAGCCATATACCTTGTCCTATCTTGAATGTGGATGTTATTATAGATTAATTTTACAGGCATAATCATGTGCTCATATATTAGGTAGTTGTATTTACACAGCGTCACTATTGTAAATAGCTGGTGCGGTGACCTATGCATATAGCCCTTCACGGGGATGACAGGCAAGGTTGAGTCCAGGTCAAGTCACTCTGGAAAACAAGCACTGAAAGCCATTCTGGGGTAAAGTTCTGCTGTACTGCCAATAATTCTTACAGTGGTGCTGTGCTGACACCAGTTGAACTTGCCCGCTTGTTTCAAAACAGGCTTAGAGGAGGGTGCTACAATGGAAGATGTGTATTTGGCGTCGGTGGAGACAGACCGAGGCGTGAAGGAACAGTTGCGGCTTTATGACACCAGGGGTCTGCAGGAGGGCGTAGAATTGCCAAAACACTATTTCTCTGTGGCCGATGCCTTCGTTCTCGTGTACTCTGTGACCAGCCTTGAAGCTTTCCAAAGAGTTGAACTGCTCAAAAAGGAGATCGACGTCTTTAGAGACAAAAAGGAGGTAAATGCATGGTGCTTATCGGTATATCAGTGATAGGAAGTTAAGGTTGGAAAGCACAGATTTTGGTTCTGTAAAGCTCTCGTACAAAGCGAAACGAATGTACCCACAGCCTTGGCCAATCCAGCAAAAAGCAGCTCTCTCATGCTGGGGAAGCCTAATTCACATGCCATGCAGGCCATGCAAAAGAACGCAGGGTTGGTTTTTTTTCCCTCCTTACTTCCTCCACTACAGCTAAAATTCAGTTAGCTGAATGCACCAGCCAGGGCACTTAGGACTAATAAAACATATGGTCTACAGCAGTGCAGTTCGTATGTTTTTTTAGATATTGTATACGGGAAGTCAAGTGCATAGAAAAATATAACGAAGGGCATTATCTTTGTTTGTTTTGTATTCATGTACTTGATGGCTTACAAACTAGTGTAATTGACAATGGGTCTCCCAGACATTAGTCAATTGGCAAAGCGGCTTTAGTGTATTTTAACAACCATATTGAATCAATTCAATTGTGTGAAATGACTGCTCTATTTTCCCTTAGAAAGCAGCTAGTGTTTTCAGCTGACAGTGTTCCAGCTTAGCTAAACAATTATAACTTGCATGTGGCATTAGCATTATGGCTTTTCTTACAGTATCTTTATATTCCCAAGTAGTTTCTCCTGTTAAATGTCTTTAGCCTACAGCTTTCCAAATGTCTGGTTTATGCTGTTGTAAAAAAAAAAAAAAAAAAGGTGTGTGAAAAATTAATTGGATAATGGTAGGGAGAACTTCCCAAAAATGTAACTTGTTTAGTCCTGACAGCACACAGGGTGGTGGAGGAAGGCAGGCTTCAAGTTTGACAGCAGCCGAACGTGCAGTCAGAGGAGAGGTATGTTAGCTACTAGGGCTGGTGTGAGCTCCAGACCATCACGTATATCAGGGATACGGGAGTCAATCGTAACTCCCCTGCAGGGCAAGGAAAGGTGGATGAGCAGGAAATTTTTCCCAGGTGCTGTGTTTCATGAGGGCTCCGATTTGTTACTTTACAGCATGTTGTAATGCAGAGGGGGAGTCGCAGCCCCAAGAGGACCCGTGTCCCTCTCTCTGTGTCTGAGCTCTACCAGAGCCCTTCTCTCTCATTGCATGCAGGTATTTTAGAAAAAAGCCCATTTGCTTGTCTTCTGGGAGAGTTTAAAGTTGTGATCTTGACTGAGGATAACAGTCAGAAGAGCAGTGCCCACAATAAGCTGGTTAAATCAGTTTTATTCCTGTGATTTCTAGTCCATATAAAATGTGCTTTGAAGCAGGTAGAAGATGAGATCAGGAGTCCTACCTCAAGACAAGCATCAGAAGGCTTGCAGTTTGCATTCTGCTAGAGTGCATCCTTAACTGAATTAGGGATGCATCTCCCCGACATGGTGCTTCTGAGCTGGCAGAACTTCACCTTGTTGAGTGGCATAGCCCCCTGTTGTGGGGCAGCTGACAGAAAGCACTGATGGCTCGTTCCTTGCCTCTGCTGGCTTGCCAGCACACACCCTAAAGCCTGGCCAAATTTTATACTGAGTAGAGGTTGTGTTCTCTCACACTGACAGAGCTCAACCATATGTAAAATTCAGTTGGAGCATGCGGTAGATTCATATGAAGATAATAGCTTCTTTCAAAGCCTTCACAGAGGGAAAAACATTTTTTTCCAAACACCGTGGATGGGCTGCTATTGAAAAGAAAGGAAGCCTCAGACCTCACAGGAACAGGACAAACATCTCTAGCTGGAAAGAAACAGAAGACACGCCAGAGTTAGCCTGACGAACTGGAAAGAGCAAGCAGGTGTGGCCACAGCAAAAAACCCCAAATCAGCAGCAAGAGAGGACTTTATCACTTGATCTGTGTCAAACCACTAGTGTAGAGATGAGACCAGAGTTTGACTAAGGACCTTGAACTATAAATATAGGCGTGGTTTCCCCTAAGAGCTGATGCTGGTAAAACATTTTTAGAAAATGGTTAACTTAAAATAGGCAGGAGCAGTAGCTTTAAGTGGCCAGCGCTACATTCAGCACTTCCTAGAACTGAAGTACCAGGCAGGCCACCGAGCTCAGCTGCACCGTACTGTCTCGGTCATCCAGAAGTCACTTGGTTGATCCTTACAACTGAAGGTCTGACTTGATAAAGCTGTGCTGCTCTGGTTAGCTAACCGGCTGCGCTTGAAACTGCTTCCAAGAGGATGGTGTGGGTGCTTACCTGGCCCTTTTGGCGACAGAAGACTGTCGGCTTAAGTCCTTCTAGTGGCTTTACCGTCCGGGGGGGGGAGTGGGGGACCAGCTGGGCTGGGAGCGGGGCTTCACCGCTCTGCTGGCACAGGCGGCCTTCTGGCAGCGCTGGCTTTAGCTGTATTCCGGGCTGGGGCTTGGGAAGAAACAAAACACAGCTGGGCAAAATCCACAGCTGTGAGGTCCAGGCTTTCTCTGCTGCCATGCATTTGTTCCTCTCTCAAGCGTCCACTGCTCTGACCGACTCAGATGTCATGCTCTTATCATTTGTCAGGGGTAGCTCAATTGCCAAGTAAATGGAGAATAGTGCTGTTTAACTTTGGCTCTCTTGGGTATTGTTTCCCTTTAAGCAATTGGGGCGGGGGGGGGGGAAGGGGGATGAAGGGGAAGTCCTGCATATCCTATGATTAAAACCAGCTCCCAGCCCACAAGTAGATGAAACTAATTGAAATCCCAGACCCTGACCTTCCAAACTACACGCATCTTACCTTGTGCCAGCGCTAAGTTAAAGAACAGGTTTGAACTGCATTGCTACTTGCCTGCTGTTTGAAAGCACTGTGCGTGGTGGATGCTTTTCGTACAAAGCTCACCCTTTTGTTTTGTCTGTAGGTAACAGTTATTGTCTTGGGAAACAAAACCGACCTCCTGGACCAAAGGCAAGTGGAAACAGAAGCAGCACAGCAATGGGCAAGAGCCGAGAAAGTGAGACTGTGGGAAGTGACTGTGACAGATCGGAAAACACTGCTTGAGCCCTTCACCTTCTTAGCTAGCAAACTCTCCCAGTCCCAGAACAAATCAACATTTCCCTTGCCAGGAAGGAAGAGCAAAGGGAATAACTGTGATAACTAAGCTACCTTAGCATTGTCTGCTGCTGCCAGGTCACAGCCTAGGTCCTTTCTGTGCCATTTGCTTCTCACAGTTTCACTTAAAGCAATAATCTCATTCAGCAATAAAATCAGCAAGCATATGGCTAAGAGGTATCCTTTCTTCTCACAGACTTGGCTTGAAAAAGTCACTGGGGGTAAAAACCTTAAAAAGCACTTCATAGGAGGAGTTATCTTGCAAACAAAGGTTACAGAGGAGACAGGGGCAGGTGGACACCTCTATAGCAGGGGCTTTGACTATGCCATGGTGAGGGACAAAACAAGCTTATCATTAAGCAGCAATCCCCCTGCAGATCTATAGCCTCCAGTCACAAATAGTACTAGCTGCAATAAGCATTCAGTTTGGAGAGATGGTATGTTTGAAATGGCAACAGTCCTTTTACCTTGACCTTAAACAAAGCCACAGGGCTTTTTGATGCTGCAGGAGGCTGAGGTCAGCTTGTTGTTGCCAGAGAAGGGTTTGGGGCAAGAGGAAAAACTACCAGCAGATTTGGCTGCTGAAGTTCTACTGGTGTCTGGAAGAAGGAAAAAAAAAAAAAAAACAAACCAGAAAAAAAGAAAAAGAAACAAATCTTGTGGGAGATACTAGAACAGATCTACCCCGACATGAAGCTTGTCAGAAAAGTCTGGCAAGCAGTGCTTTCAGCTCAGGAATTTATTTGTACAAACCAGAAAAGCTCTCCGAGCACTCATTAATTTAACTCCAACCTGAAGGACAACATAGCTGTTCGTGGTTTTGTTCTAGCATGTCCAGTACAAATCAGTCACATTTACATAGGTGATAATTTTACTGAGAAATTATACAGAGCAATTTTGTATGCAGGAGGTACTGCCCGGGCTCTGCTTAGTGCATTGCATAATACTCCTACCCAGCCGTTCAGCCAAGCTGCAGTAATCCACCCTCGGTACGTAGCTACAGGCCAGATAGCAACTGGCATAAAGCGCTGCATTACCTTGTGAGAGGGGGCTAGGGAGTGTAGGAGGCTGCCTTTTGGGAATATCCCCATGGCAAACGCCAAGAAATACCTGTACAAATGGCCTCGGTCTTAACACGCTGCACATGGTCCAGCAGCAGGAGCACAACTGCGTGCGCTCTATTGACTCTCTGTGCTGCAGGAATCTGCTGTCCTAGGTCAGCCTGTCAGTAAACTAAACAAAATTGGATAGAGAGGGACAGAACGAGCAACTGTTCCCAGAGATAGTGGCCAGTTTTTGGCCTCTAACCACCTCTCCTGCTACTTGATACTACTAGCTTTTCTTTGTATTTGAAGACAAGAGCGGGGAGAGGGAGTGAAGTACCCAGTTCCCTCATTTTCCACCAAATTAATGTTGTTTTGAACCAATATTGAGAATTTCACTGTGAGTCAGCAAGCCCATGAGCAATATTTGCACTGTCATATCATAACTGCTAAACAGTAAGTGTGCTTAATGATCACAATTAAGCCGTGTGCTTATAGCGTTGCTCTTCCCAAATACTGACAAATAAAGTCCGTCAGCATTACTAATGTCAGAGCAGCAGTACAATTCACTAAAAAATTAAGCAGGTATTCCTACCTTTATAATGAAGGCAGACGAAACTGTTTATGTGCTTTGCTCAATATAGTTTGGATTGCTGTGGCCAAGGGGTGAGATAAGAGAGCAATTATGAATGAGCAAGCTCTTGTAATGCCCTGCTAGAAACATACAATTGCTTCCATTGCAACACCGCAGCTGAGTAAGCGCTATAGCACGACCTCCCCCAACCTGGCAGGCAATAGTCACTGTCCCCAGCGATGCTGCGGAACAACACTCCCTCCTCACTCATTTCCTACTGAACACATGTGTGCCCAAGGCTTCTCCCTACGCAGAAGACTCCGCATCTGCCTGCGTGCTTGGGAAGCGGGGGTGACTTCAGAGCAGCAGCAGGTCACCTCCTTGCTGCAATCTCTCGCCAAGGAATTGGTGATGTTCCTCCTCTTCAGCTCTGCAGAACCCTTCTTCTGGAAGGAGCTCGATTCAGCTTTGGATCAATCAAAGTAACGCAAGACCTCGGCTAAACCGCACGTCTTCACCGAAGCTGACCCATGAGCCAAGGGAGTGCAGGCTGACAAGTCAGAATTAACTTAAAATGCGTGGAGATGGAAGGAACGGAGATGACTGGTTCCTCTCCAGTTCTGCACCCTGCAGACTCGGTGCCAATTCCACTGCCAAGACTGATGTCACCTGTACGCTGCCAGAGCCATGTCTTGCGAGATCAGCCTGCTCACTCCCCTGGACACTCGGCGCTTGACGATGTTTTAAGACAGACAAGAGAAAAAGGGATCTACTGAATGACTAAGGCCATTTTCCAGAGAGGTTACGTGAGGGCAAACACGGTATCTTCTATTTGGTTAAATTCATTAGAAATGAGTTTAGATCATTTGGGGCATTCACATAAGCAACCACCACCCACTGTTCCTTTCATAAGCTTATTCCGATGCTTTTTAAGCACTCAAATAAATTTTTCTTAATACCATAGTATTTTATTGAAAAATGATAAATTTTTCTTAATACCATAGTATTTTATTGAAAAGTGATGGAAAGTGTAGCATCTCCTCTGCAAACAACCTACACACGGTGGCTGGTACTGAGTCGAAGTGAAACTCACCGTAGTACAAGTTTTACATAGGGTTAATAAGTAAAGTACAGAGTATAACGTGGTAACTAAAGGGCAGGGCATGTATTTTTTTCTTACTATTCCACTGACTCAAAACCAGTCCTAGGTCACTGGGATCACCTACCTACTACAGAGCTAGACAGTCCCTTCACAAGATAATGGAGAAAAATTATTATGAAGTTAGTAAACCGAACCATTGTTCTCTGTTCCTTTTGAACGTCTATCCTGCTGAGTACACCCTGGGCAGATCAGTCACCCCAAATCAGCCCCCCCCCCCCCCCCCCCCCCCCCACACACCCTACAATGTCGTCTGCCTTAATTTGGCATGTCCTGGTAGCACAAAGCACGTAGCCGACAAACACCAACTGAGATTAAGCCATTTACCGCCTCACTCAGTAGAGGGGAGGAGGAACGGACTACCAGAGATGCTCCTGGTGTGATATAGCTATATACAAATACTTTTCCTAGGCTGAGCCAAACAGCTGAGGGAGCTCATACACCAAAACACGCGTTGTCTCAAAAGAAGGCAGTTCAGCAGATGAGGCTAACACACCACTCACTACCCACGACCACCCAGCAAAGGAAGGGTACCTCCAGTTAACAGATTCCTTTGGACCAAATTAGGTTTGATCTATATATAGATAGGAAGCATATACATCAAATATATACGGAATTCATTTTTAAGTACCAAAATAAATCTGAGAGCACAGATGACGCTACAGCACTCGTAAGAATGTCGCAAGGCGGAATGCCTGCCGTGTGAAAATCAATCTGTACTTCCGGCCTTTACCTTAAGGGAGTGGTTAAAAATGCCATATCCACAGCTAGCTGCCCTCTTGCCACACACCTCAACGTAAACACCATGTCTCTAGGAGATAATCTTTGTAGGTAGTTAAAGGATCTACAGATTAAGTCTCCTTTAAGGTGTCTTCTGCTAGCTTACCAGACACGATTCCTTCTCCTCTTCCAAGTGGGAACAGACCACTCCATCAGATAAACCACGAAGATATTCTCTTCCTCCTTTTACCTCCCCACCTGTTTCCCTTCCAGATCTCTTACACTTTTCCAGTTGTACTTTCAAATAACGTGCCGGTCCCGAAAAGCCAATGCTGTGAAAACTTAAGCTGTAAGGTAACTAGCGTGGACTCTGTGGCAGGTTGCCTCCTCGTGGGCCGCGCCAGCCTGCGTAACACTTACACCGTAAACTGCTGAAGAAGTCTTGGCTGTCATTCATTGTAGCTTGCCTAGAAGTGTCTTCCCAAAATAGCAGCAGTCAGTGCGCTCACCTGCAGAACTCCCCTGTCCTTATCCATACTGTAATCCTCAAAGCGTACTGGGAGGCACTGTTCCAGCAAAATGACATAGCAAGGCACTAAGCAGAAATCTTTTCTTCTTCTTTTTTTTAAACATCTTTTTATTAGCACAGTAACAAATGCAGACTTAAGTAGCCCACAACATACAACCAATCCACTGAGTGACTCCTATTCCACGCCTTACAGTTAAACAGCTTAAGGTATTTCACTACAGGTTACCGTAAGTCCTGATTAAACCCTTTATTCTTTTCACAAAGATAGATTGGCTTATAAAATAATACATTAACTACTTCTCATTTCATATATGAGGCCATATATCCACCTCTCCGTATCACAGATCATGAGATGACAGTCTTTAAAAAGGATTTGTTAAATACCAATGTGCCCTCCATAGGGGAAAACAATCCCGACATCTTTTTACAAAAAAACCCCAAGAAACCCAACCCAGAACAAAATAAACCCCTCAAACCAAAAACAAAACAAAAAGCAAAAACAGTGTGTAGAGTCTTGAAAGGACTTTTACATAAATGCCAACGTATGTACCTGTACAAAATTAAGCTGTTTTAATCTTTTACATATTGCAAGCAAACTGAAAACCAAAGAAGTCTAAGAGGTTTACATTCTTCTCAGTACTATATGTGAGCTAATATTGCTGAACTAATTACAGTCTTAAAATATGCTATTCCCAATCCTAGCTGTCTACTGTAGCAAGATACCTTAAGTTACAACAACAAAATCTTAGGAAATAAAAGACTGAATAAAATCTGTTATAGAAATACCCTACTCTTTACCAGCACCCTCCCTCCCCCCACCCCTTCAAAATCATAAGCAGCTCTTTCCATCACAGACAAATAACGTAAGAGTTTGACGAAAATCCCATTTATGTAGCGTATCTTTTGGTCCATTGTCTGGCCATTCTGTCATGCTCTGCTCTGTTAGTCATGTACTGAGTGGCAATACTTCCAACCAGGGGGTCAGCTGAAAAGGAAAGAAAACAAAACCACTTACTTCAGAGAAGTTACTGAATAAAAACTTAAAAATAAAGCTGAAGTGTGAATTTAATACAAGGGAATCACCCAGGTAAGGTACATTGCACCAACCTAAATATACTGAATTGATGGCTTGCGTTTTCATTGATTTGTGTGTATTTATGCTGATGTACTAATCTATTACTTAATAAAGAGCGAAATGCCAATTAAAGTTTTCAGGAGTTTAAAAGACAAAAATCCTATAGTCATATTTTGCATTAATGAGGACTTTCGCCAGTTCATGCATTTCAGGTTTATTCTACCCCTTCTAAAAGCGCCTGGGAAACACTCGTTGCTATCTGTACTTGTATGAATAGAAACCTGCATTCTAGGGAAGATCAGTTCTAAAGGAGAGGTTTTATTTTTCCAACGAGTTTATTTTTTTTATTATACATAATATAGTGTGAAATCTGGTGTTTCTCTCATCTTTAGACACACATCAGAAGACAACCTGTAAAATTGACTTTGGAAACCAAGACAAATTCCTCTTAACCGGTGTGGATAACGGGTGGGTTAGAGAAGCAGCAAGGACTACTCGTGGCACAGTTGGTCACTGGTTTTAAATGGATGATGGAAAGGCTAATCCCCTTGTTTTCCGAACTACGTTTGTGGCTCTTCTTGCTCTGTTACTGAATTACTACAGTCCTACAGAGCAGGGAAGAGTGTTTAACCCTTACCCAAACCCAGACTTGGTTTGGAAGGGGAAGTTTTCACGTGCAGGAGGAGGACCGCCGCTTTCCTCGTGGGTCAGCCTGAGGAGCGGTGAACAGCAGGCAGGTAGGGTGTATCACCTCCACCACCTCCAGCCCCTCTCCGGCTGTCCTGGAGAGGGAAACGTGCTGCGCTGGAGGCCAGAGCCGGGCTGGCCGAAACCAACACGACGAGAAGAGGGCCACGTTATTTGGGTGCCGGGGGGGGTGCGAGGCGGCTGGTGTGGCCACGCAGGGGACTTACCCGGGTTGCAATCTGTGAGGAGGGAGCAGATGGAGAGGAGAACTTTAGAAATGGTTAATGCTGGACTCCAGTTGTCTTTTAAAATGTCCAGGCAGATGACGCCTTGGCTGTTAATATTACAGTGGTAGATTCTTGTCCGAAACGTTACCTGCGAGAGAGGGGTATTAGCTGGAGCGCGGGGTACCTACCACACGCCATGCGGTGAAGTAAAAACTGACGGGG